CCACTACTACTCATATGAAACAAAATAGGTATATGTTAATTCAAGAACATATTATACCATGGACACGGGTGAATTATTTTTCAAAAACTTGTCGGTACAATGATTTACAATAATTAATAATAATGGTATAGAAATTATCATAGGACATAGAGTAGGGTTGAATTTTCGACTCCAACTGACGTCTTTCACGTCGTATACTCATAGATCAAAATATGTAATAGTTTTAAAACATTATGGTTTATTTTTTCCCTGATAATGCAATAATTTTAAGTATGCATATATAGACTTCATAAATTTTTACCATATTTATATAATAGTTTAAAATAGATACAGAATACTCATTAACTGTAGTACACGTGCTTGTTTTTTTGCAGCTATACAATATTATGCACCTATACACCCACAGTCATTAAAAACAAGTCCACGGCTGGCTGCCCGATTACACAATATTCGTGTCTCTACAATGGCATAATGACGGTTGTTTGAATAATCAACTTAATTATATGATCAAATATTATCGCTAGGATTCTAATAGGACTTATTTTGGAAAATCTTCTATTTGGACTTACTCGTTTCGCTCCTTTCAGAATCTAAAAAAAAAAAAAACAATTCAAATTTTCCAAAGATTTTAAACAACTCGTTTTTTGTTTTACATTATTTTATTACGATTTTCACTACATTAATTCATCATTATTATTATTATTATTATTACTACTATGTATTCTAATGTGGAATTATTATAACGTACACTTTACAATTCCACATTGTTAAAATACACTCAAACACCAGATAATACATAATATTATAGGAACTGTAGTAGAAAGTATTTTTTTAATTTTATATACATAAAAAACTGTGTGAAAAAACCGGATTGTTTGCGTTAAAAGTTTCACAATGCGTTTAGTTTTCGACACATATACAACAATATTACAGTATGTCGAGATTATATTATTATTATTATTATTGTTGCTGTACGAAATAATAATTGTTTTGATAAAAATCGTCCATGAAGCGCAATTATTATTCAAGAATTCACGACACACTTGTTTTTTTTTTTATTAGTCGTTATCTTCAATTTATGGCGTTTGTGTGTGTGTGTACTGCATTTTTCTAATGTATATAATGGGTGGATAGGTATTTATTTAATACAACTAAATTGAAGACCCACATTTCCTTGACTTAAATTTTACATAGCGCGAGCTATGGTCTTCTTGCTGTGTACACATATTGTATGATTATTTTTTTAATCGTATCTGTTTTTATTTTTATTTTTTTTTATTGAGGTTAAACGTTTTTATAATATCTTCGCATCTATTTATTCTACATTAAAATATAATAAATACACACGCGGTATTTCGTTACAAACATTATATCAAAAGAAAGCAAAACAAAATTCGTTGTTCTTGCAGTACCTATATAATACTAATATGATATTATTATGCTGTTATACGATAATATGTACAGATATATTATTATTATCATAGAAAATAATAGCTCGAAAGTAGGTAATACATATTATAATAATAATGAAAATATATTAGCAACGCGTACTACATAACATTATATTATATCGTAAAATATAATATAATAATATTGTCTGGCGTATAATAGTTAAAAACCCTAAAAAGAAAACCCGTTAAAAGACACGCGTCGGGAAATGTAGGTAGGTAGTTGTGTTCCAACCTTTTTTTTTGTTGTTTTCATATTAATAATATATTATAATCAGCTCGAGTCGAACAATAAATATGTTAGTATCGCACGACTTAGACAAAGACGCACGACGTCAATATTTAATTACCACCCGATATTATTATAATAATATGTATTGTAATTTGAAATAATTTCGGACGCGATGAGTATACCGCACAGGTTAGGTTAGGTTAGGCCAACCTACACGTCTGTTAATCATAACCACCGACGGCGCTTTTTAAAACCTTACCGGTTTCGTATTTCGTTTCGAAAGCTGTCATTGCACGTGTGTGCGTATACAACGCGCGTGATAATAATAATGTGTAACAATTATTATTATTGAAACGTATTCACACTATGACGTTTTGTACCTATTTCGGACAATAGATTAATATTTTCGTCACGGCGGCGGCGGACGGTAGTCAAAAACTCGCGGATTGAGAAGACAGTTGCGTAACGCGCAATATGCGAATAATGGCAGAACACAATACCTACCTATGTTTTCACAGACAATAATAATGAGTTAACTTACAGTATTAAGTGACAATCGATATAATGGATATTAATATAGAAACTTAGCGCCGTTCGCGGAATTATATTTGTACGAAAACCGTCTCGAGAGACTATAATATCAAAGTTTAAAAGCGCCGCCGACGACTGCGTCGTGTACATAATATTTTATAAACATTATAGTCGTATCGGTCATAAGTTTTCAAAATTCTGTAAGTACGCTCGTATACATTATTAGTCGTATGACGTACCTATATCATTGTGTGTAAGGTGATCTCCCACAGCAGTGTCAGTTGCAGCGATTGTTAACGTCGAATAATAATATTATTATTATTATTATTATTTCTTTTCGAGTACCGTTATAGGCCGTCGCCTCCGGAGCCGTACTCGTCGCACCATAATAATACCATGTGCGTTCGAGGTCAAAGATCAACCGAAATATTACCATACAATTTACATCTACGTGTAGGTATATATTATGGAGTAGTGGAAGTAGGTAGTAGTAGCTAATAGTTGTAATAGGTAGGTATAATATATATAGTATTATAGCGTAGTGACGGTGATAGTAGTATAATAAAATATAGTAATAGCATAATATAAGACGCTTAGTGATCACCACGCCAGCTTATCCACAGTCCATTTAGGTATTAAAATTTTGATTTTTAGTGAAGTTTTCAAATAATATTTTTAATTGCTCGGTTCTCTTTTAGTTCTTCTTGTAGGTTTAGACACTGGGTGATTCACTCAGCGTGTATATTGCTGCACTGCAGTTCATTAAGCATTCATTCGAATTCTGGTTTTTAAATTTTTTAAATATACCCAAAGGAGATATTATTTTGAAATACCTACTCAGGTTTTTTTATGTCATGTAGGTTGTACGTATAACACGCAGTGGGAGTATCAGTGCTGTTATGGCGTTACAAACTTGGTTTTTTCTTCGAACGAGAATTATCTGCAGTTTACACCGCATAATATAGATTGTAAGCAATTAATATTTTATTAAAAAAAAAAAAAAAATCATCGTGCGTCTATAATCGATATCGAAATTCGACCGATTAGTCTCTGGTTCATCTATGCACTATAACGGTAATAACTAATAAGTACTTACTTATTTTTTTAAATAATTTGATAGGCCTGTACACGTTTAGTCACACTAAAATGCGATGAAACGTGTGCGTCTATTATTACAGTACTACATTAATAATGTTATACCGTAATGATAATAATATCGCATTAGGTATTATATTTTATGACTTAAAATATATTTTACACTCGTCTGTTTATCCAATCCGCTGCAGCTGCATATAGCAGTATTATACTATAGACAGAGCGTGTAAAATTTGAACCGACTAGAAAATTTCGTCGTTGCCGTCGTGAAGCGTGTAAATACAGAGTAATCGAAAACGAATGATACCACGATCTGTGGTGGATCCAGTTTTAAGTAGAAGATCTCACCCGAATCCTATTTCAACCGATCTCTCTCTCTCTCGCGGAGAACGAAAATCGGAATCGTTATTTATATATTATAATATATTATTACCATCTCGATTTCATATTATATATATTAATAATATTGAACTCGAGAATTTCAAGCAAAACGAATAACCGTGATACCTATGACCAGGGCTTGAAACCGTAAATATGTTTTCCGATTTTGATTTCAGTTATACGGATATCGATATTTATTTTTTCTGATTTCGTTTTGGTTTTGAATTTTTCCGATTTCGAATGGTATTTAAAATTGGTATCAAATATCGGTTTCAAGCCCTGCCTATAACTGTTGTAGGTGCACTACTCGTTTAATTTATAATATTATCATCACCTGTTGATTTGTCGAACATGTATTATAGACATATTATATTTTATTATAACTAATAATAATAAGTTGGTACCTCATGTTTACTACCGTTTTATAATATTATATACTACATGATATAGGTAAAATATAATATTAGAATTGACTTCAAACGATGCCTTTGTGTAAATTCAGCTACCCTCCCACCACCAAGGTATATTTTAACTGTGCGTGTAAACATTTGTTTGTTTTTTTTTTTTTAGTTTTTTAGTACGTTTTGCGTATATGCAATAATTATTATCAAACGAATAGATTTATTTTTTTACTATTTGAGGAGTGCGTGGGGATAACAACTTTTTTATTCAATTTGTCTTCATTTTCCATACATTTTTGAATAATTTTTTTTTCCCTCTAATGTTAAAGTATTTTCTTTACTAAATTCAAACTAACAGTTTCTTAGTTATTAAACGATATTTTGTACACCTACCTACAAATGTACATTTATGATAATAATATATTAATATGTATGATTATGATAATGATTTGCCATAAATATGAGGTAGATATTATTATGCCTAGTTCCTAAACACATTACGTCTTACACTCTACTATCTGATACTCAGGCAATATTTTTAAAATTATACAATTTTAATAAACTGATAAGAACAATAAAATTATAATAATTTACGTAACGTAAATTACTCTGTATAATATTAGTGTGTCTAGGGGATTTGATAATCTTACAACGAAATAAAATATAAAATGGTATAATATATTCCAGATACGCCTGTATTTTATCAAAACTGTTTTCATTATACAAATTTTATAATTGTATCAAAGCTGTTTTCATTATACAACTTAGCATCATAAAATTTTTATGTTTATTTGTAGCAGCAACAGCAACAAGAACATAGACTCGGTCCGTCTCCTCGCCACTGGTCAACCAAATGTCACGAAACCCAAGTGTTTATAAATACAGAAAACAATAAATAAATAAACCGCCGAAATGTCGTACTCGTGGGTGGTTTGCACCCTGTTGGCCAGCGTCCTCTGCGGGGCCCACGGTGCGAGCAGCCCGACCAAAACTTACACGGGATACAAGCTCAAGCCAACGTCTCTGCGCATGATCTATCACCATGACCAGACCATAGCCATCGTGGAGATTGGCGAAGGTAAAGCACTTCTCAACTGCGAGCTCGTCGAAATCTAGTGAGTAAATTATGACAAAAATAAATAATAATAGAACATAATATTTATATACCAACCTAGGTGAAAAAAAAAAACTATAGTAAATATATTACATTTTATTTTTTTGTGCTCCCGTTTAATCTGACTTTTGATTATTTTGGCTTATTTTAACTATTTCAAATATGTTTTCCATAGCTTTCGTGGTGAATAGTGGATACGTATTTAGACAATTACGTATTATTGTTATTCTAATAGATGTTATAATGTTAGGTAAATTATTGAATTTTGTATAGAGCTCTGAAAAATCAAAAAAATAACTGATAATATTTGAATATTATGAAGACACGTTTCCACTATAATCGTGTTCCTCGTACACGAAAAAGCTATGCCCAACAACACGGTACCGTGGTTGATCGTGTGGTAACCTAACCTAACCAACCAATCATCACAGGAAATGATTTACGCGGACGTGTATACTGAATTGTATGGTTAACAAAAAGTTGGATAGCCTTCGTTCAGAATAGTTTTTTAACAAATACAATAATTTATTATTTAATTTAAATACAACACATATCCATTAAAGTGCTTAGTCAATGTCCAATGATGAGGTAACTCACTCCTATTGTATAGTAGCATGGTTATCCCCTCCCACATTTAACAATGTCAATAATAATTTTCAGAGCTTTCAGGTTGGGGCCTATATATACGTGACTGACCACTGCGTATAATAATGGATCGCTGTAAATTGAGTCTAATTAATTGTTATGTAAATTGTGTTCCGGGTATATTTTGTATAATATGTAATTTGCTGCCTAAATATTTTTTATTCATGCAATATTATTATACGTAAGTTAGGTCAAGTGACATTTTTCAAAAGTCTCGACAAGTTAAAATTTCAATATCAGCATTTTGTAATAATTATAATATAATCTAGACACGCGGTAGCGTGTCAAGCCAAGTTCTAGCTAACAGAACTGGCGAGCAGCACCGTGTGTAATATTACACGAACCATTTGGAGCCACTTTTGACCCCCTCATAACTCAAAAACTATTCCACATAAACATGTCAAATTTGGCTCATATATTGAGACTAACGAGATATATATTTTCTCTAAATTTCATAAACACACTTCAAACCGTTATTTAGATATTAACGTCCGAAAATCGTCATTTTTATCACTGACTGACCTATAGATCAAAATTCTAACCCAGTTCCAGATGACCTAGAAAGTTCAAATTTGGCATACAGATAGGTAGTTAGGTAAATACAAAGGAAAAAAATCAGAAACTTAAACATTTTTAATTTAAAATGTTTTAATTTTTTAATCAATTGCTTTTATTATAATTTTGCAATTATTTTATCTATTATGTTTAATTTTTCAATTAATTAATGAATTGCCTCTAATTTAATGTAATGTTGACTTAAATAACCTTTCCCGTTTCGCCGCTCCAAAAATACGACTAGCCGAATATGTGTCGATATTGTCGACCCGCGCGCAGCAACATACTTTTTTTTCTATCTATGTATGTAATTAATATTATTTTTTTTAAATATTACAATTTAAATAATTAAATAATTATTCTTACAAATTATGAATTATCCACCCAACAGTAGAAACTACAGTCAATAAAATTATGATAATTAAAAATATACTCAAAAAGAGTTAAAATAATTGTATATTAATTTTACATATATTTTATACTCTGTATATACAATAGAAATTATTTTATAATAAATATTATTAATGTTATACGTTAGTAACTGAATTATAGTATTTAGTAATAAACTTTATTTATAGAATACGTCATGGTAAATTATTGTTATCGACGATCGAAATGAAGTCGTTTCGATGGAAAAATCAGTACTAAGAATAAACAGAAATAAAAACCAATAATTATGTTAGGTAATATAGGTAATTAAATATAAATAGAAAACGCGTAAAAAAAATTCCAGATACTGAATGGGCAATTCACTCAAACATTTTAAAAGTTCAGGAAAATATAAATAATAACACACACAAAAAAAAATTATAACCCGTAAACGTAGGAAAAAACAATAGTTTAATAAAAACCATTTGGAAATAATTTTACTATGAATAAATAGCTATTAAAAATTTACATACAAAAAGTAATGATATCCCAACAAAAAATATATGTAAAATGATAGCCAAGTTCAATTATGTAATATATGCTTTGATTGTTGACTTCAACGACAAAATAAGTGAGATCTAAATGGTTGCCAAGTTCAATGGTCAGTCCTGAAATTTATTTATAACAACATGAAATATAATTTCTTCTTATCACTTAGGATAATGTTTTGAAGCCTAAGGCCTGACTTGGCTAGTTTCTATATACGAATTATGTTATAGCCTTCGCAAGTTCTAAAAAGTTGGGAGTTCTTTTTTATTCTTCTAAAAATTTGGCTTGCTATTAGAAACTAGCTATCGAACATAGTGCTCTTCCATCACTGTTTTAGTAGGTACTTGATGATAATTCGTAAAATATGGAAACTAGCCAAGTCAGACCTTAGGCTTCAAAACATTATCCTAAGTGATAAGAAGAAATTATATTTCATGTTGTTATAAATAAATTTCAGGACTGACCATTGAACTTGGCATCCATTTAGATCTCACTTCTTTTGTCGTTGAAGTCAACAATCAAAGCATATATTACATAATTGAACTTGGCTATCATTTTACATTTATGTTTTGTTGGGATATAGATAATACAATAACCTGTATAGTTAAATTAATAGCGATGCTATATCATTTTATTTGTATTGAGCTCTGTAAATTCTGCAAAAATAATATTTAGCAATTGCTTAGTATACATTTCTGTTGGTGGTGAATAAATATTAAATGGCCCAGTTGTTTCGTAAACTATAAATGATGACTGTATACAATTGTAAGTTTGCTTTGTAATTAAATTGATTTTAATTTAAAAAAAAAGAAATTCTAAGTTAGGTTCAAATATTTAAATAGATTAAATAAGGCAAGTACATAAAATAATGACACTAATTACAGAGAAATTCTAAACAGTTTTTTTAGTTTTTAAAACCATTAAATATCTAATCAAGAGTAAATTAATTAAATTATAGGTATGCATAATAAATACACTAAACAGAAAAAAAGTATTAAATTGTTTTTTTTCTGCCATAATATACGTCATAATAATTTTATATCATATATTTTACAGTGGTAAAAGTTGTAAAAGTATAAATTATAAAAGGAACCTATTTCTTTTATAAATAAAGTAATATTAATCAAATATAATGACAATTTTTTAGTGTCATCAAAAATTATTATAAGAGTTATTTTAATACATATAATCAAAAAAAGATGCTCTGCTGTACAGTAGGTTACAAGTGAGTCACTGTATAATGGATGGTATTAAATTTGAATTCAATGATATAATATCATTGTATAAGAAATCGATTCTGTGTGGAGACGGTATGTCTGCAGTCTAGATATAAGACAAATTATATACTTATCTATGGTATTAAAAAAAAAATTGACCTATAATAGGTAACTATAATAAATTCCAAATTAATCATTTCACAATAACCATTAGGTACTTATAACGCGTTATACAACAATAACAAACCATGATACTATCATAGATATATAGTATATAGTATACTTTAGAAATTTCAAATACCCACGAATAATATTAAACAATCACAACAAAATAACTAAAAAAGTTACTCTAGGTTTTTTAATATGTAATTTCGTCCAAATTTGAACTTAAAATGGATTTAAAAATAAACTGTGCTTATGTATTTTTTAATTTTTTTGGTATCAGAATTAAATTGTTACGTGGAATCTTGTTTTAAATTTTTACGAATTCTTAACTCAAAATAATTTGCTAATTTGCTTGATTTTTCCATATCTTGTCAGTTTTTGAACTTTAAATCCTTATAAAAATAAACTGTGACTATGCATTTTTAATATTTTTATCTGCCTTTGAAACAATATACTAGGGGCCTTCTATTACATTTTCAATTATTTTTTAACCAAGAAATAAAATTTTATTGATATTTATAGAAAAAAAACTAAAAAAAAATGGAAAATGAAAATGTTCCAAAACAGTTCAAAACAAATCATAATATTTTGAACATTTTATCGTGTATAGAAAATGCAAATATAAACAACTAGCAAAAGTTTCATGTATCTACGGTCATTTGTTTTAAAGTTACACCAAAAACCAAAATCGATTTTTTTTTCGAAAGGTGACGACAGACACAAAAAAAACACAAATCATTGTAAAATCAATACATTCATCGTCCCACTCAGAATCTAAAATACTTATCAATCATTACCTAATAAATTTCTTAAATTAGTGTTAGAACCACGAGTGGTATACTAATATAGTGTTATTAAAAGTACTCGTTTTCGATTTACCTACTTTATAATCTACCTATGACGCTGTTCGTAACTGTTATTCATTTTTGGAAATATTTTTTTACATAATTTTAAGTCATTACAAAACAATATTTAAAAAAATATATAATTGGTATAATTTTATTACATTAACTAGTTATAAGTATTTAAAGATAAGATAAGTGTTCACCCTTAATATAATCGCCTTGTAATAGTGCTTATTGCTTAATATGTATAATATATATCGTAAGACCGCAAAAACAGAGTAAAATTGTATAAATAAACTACCCATATTACTCAGTATCCTATTGATTTTTTTAAATTCGGTTTGCGGGACACGAAACAAGACTATTGGATCATACCGCAGACAGAATTCTAAACTATATATAGGGTACTGTTTAATGTGGGTATAACTAAGTTATAGAGTGTACCCAGTTTTTGAAGAAACACACAAGGTAAGTACCTATAGTATATACATAGCAAGTAATATATTTTTCGAAAAAAAATACCAACACCGAGCGGAAACGACAAAAAGATGAATATGCACTGATGAACAATACAGAAATAGACAGTGCACAGTCCTCTCTTTGTCACCTAATAATCGTTCGGTTTTCGCGGTTTTCTCGCGTTTCTAAGCGATTTT